AAATCATTAAAACTTTTTTTCGACGTCTTCTAATGAACATTGTAGCAAATACATCAGTCTCAAATATATCTATCGGAAACTGTGAGCCTGATTCTTTAACCTAGTTAATTTGATCTTCTGTCTAAAGCAGAGTGACTTCTCTTAAAAAAAAAAACACCAATCAAACAACCAAACTCAGTCTTGCTTTAAATTTATTCTAAAAACTAAATTACAATTGCCATTTCACAGTCATAAGGCACAATAAATTCGTGTTTTTAAGGATTTAAAGAGACAAAATAGCCTGAAGCCGGCCCTGCTGTTGCAATTGAGAAACTGGAACATCCAGCTAGGCGACACCACTTTCCTGGTTGCTACCATACGTTGCCATACTGGAACGGAGTAGCTTTCAACTTCCACCAAAGGTTTACCTTGGACCCATTGTTGCACGACTTGTTGGGGTTGTTGGCCTACAATTTCAACTTCTTGTTGTTGAACGCTTCTCAAAGCTTGCTGCAATAGGCCCCTTGCATCAAATTTTTTTATTCCTGATTTCGATAGTCCATGAAAAATAAGTCAACACGTGTTTTTTCTTTTTCTTCTTAGTCAAAAATTGACGGAGATACAACGCTATGAAATATGCCTATGACGTCATCAGGTATAATACTTTATGACGTCGCACATGCTCAGTATATCTATATATACAAAACTTAATATTTGTATAACTTCCGAAATAATCATATTTGGGCGAAATGAAAAAAAAGTAACGATTTTTTTTCGATTTCCTACAGTTTACAATAAACAATAATCAATTTAATTTTCCATGCAAGTACCCTATTCTTGTACGATGACTTTACGGGTGATCTGTTCAGCTAACAATTGTGTTTCTTGTTGAACCAGTTGTTGTTGAACCACTTGCAATACAGAGGCTTGGCTAAGCTGACCTTGTTCTTGAGCGATAACTTGTTGGATTTGGACTTGGTTAATTTTTACAAGCTTTTATTTAACTTCACCTGTATGTATGTATGTATGTATGTATGTAATCAAATCTTGCAACTCATTTTTGAAGAACTTCCAAACATCGGATTGACTTCAAATTTCGCATAGCGTCTTAGTTCCGATGACAATACAATAATATGGTTTCATCGGGTACCTACCACCCCCCTAACGTGAGGGGTGGAGAGGGGGTAAAACTTTATTTTGTCCGATTTCAACCAAAATTGGTATCTGGGGGTTTTTGAGGATGAGAATTACGAATTTTTGATCAGATTACAAAAATTCAATATGGCGGATTCAAAATGGACGATTTAATGTCAAGTTTTTCTGATTACTTTTAACTGACTTCCACGTATCCGATTGACTTCAAATTTCGCATACCGTTATAGTTCCGATGACAATCCAATAATGTGGTATCACTGACTGCCTACCACCCCCCTAACGTGGAGGGTGGAGAGGGGGTAAAATTTTGGTTTGTCGGATTTCTACCAAATTGGTATCTGGGGGTTTTTGAGGATGAGGATTACGAATTTTGACAGGAAAGACTCCCTGCGATATCGATGCGCTAGCTGAAATGCATAGACTTAGACAAATCTAAAAATTAAAAAATTAATTTAGAAAAAAAAACTTTTTGAAAACAAGCTTTTATAAAATGGACTAAAAAGCATGAAATAATTTTTTGAGTGTTCTGATATCATAATAATAAAAGCGATGGGCGTATTTAATATTAGGTAAATGCCTTTCCATGCGCATTTGGTGGATCGTCCACAACCAATAATGGGCCGACTCTTCTTTTTCAATGTGACAAAATAAATCGACACATTGCCGGTAGCGGATGATCTGCCTAATATGAAGCAGGCGTAATAATGTCCATCCATATCAGAAAAATGTAAGGGTAACTTGAGTAGGGTTGGGTTGGGTTGGGTTAAATTGTTTACCCTTACATTTCTCTCTGAATTTGGATTTTCACTAAACTTCGAGTTAACAAGGCTAAAACAAAAACGGGTAAATTTCCTTTAATACGCCCATCGCTTTTATTATTATGATATCAGAACACTCAAAAAATTATTTCATGCTTTTTAGTCCATTTTATAAAAGCTTGTTTTCAAAAAGTTTTTTTTTCTAAATTTTTTGGTTCAATAGCTGCAATTCGCTTTCGAGAAGTTGGACTTTGATCTAATGTCTGACAATTTCACTGAAAGAAGTTCAAAGAGTTTAAGCTACATTTGTTATGGGATTGAACAATCTTACCGTAGAATTCCTTGGACTTGTTGTCCAGTTTGGATTTGTTGCTGGATTTCGGGAAGTACACTGGCGGCAATGATGTTTTGACCCAAGTGTAAAGAATCCTGCACTTGAGATTCAATTGATCTCAATTGTTGCAATTGCTGCTCGATTTGCCATTGTTGTTGCATTGGCTGTTGAGCCAATTATTGTTGAAGGGATTGGATGACACCAATTGGTAACACCTACAAAAAATGGAAATGTTAATCGATGTTTTGGTATTGAGAAATGACGAAATTGATCTCACTTGTTCTTGTTGAACCTGTCCGTATACTTGCTGCCATTGCTGTTGTTGTTGAAACTGTCCTTGCTGACTCATTGATTGTTGTTGGCTAACTAATTGTCCTTGTTGGCTTTGTTGAACAATGTTTTGAATCTGGGATTGTTGGATTTGTTGCTGGCTATTTCTTTGGACAGATTGTTGAAGCTTCTGGATCAGGTATTGTGGGAGTTGTCCGAAAACCTGTTCGGTATCAACCAATTGTTGCTGTTGTTGCAATAATTGCTGGACAACTTGTTGTAGTTGTAGTTGACCCAGTTGAGGTTGCGCTTGCCCATTTATCCAATTTTGTCCTTGTTGTAGCTGTTGAACAATGTTTTGAATTTGAGATTGTTGGCTTTGTTGCTGTTGTTGCCACAATTGCTGAACCAATTGTTGTAATTGTTGTTGACCGATGTGTCCAATTTGGGATTGTTGGCCTTGTTGTTGTCGCAATAATTGTTGGACAATTTGCTGTAATTGTTGTTGGACCATTTGGGGTTGCGCTTGTCCGTTTATCAAATTTTGTCCTTATTGTAGCTGTTGAACCATGTTTTGAATTTGGAATTGTTGACTTTGTTGCTGTTGTTGTTGCAACAACTGCTGGACGATTTGTGGTTGGTGTTGTCCCATAATAGAGCCTTGTTCCTGTTGTTGCTGTTCAACAATCTGTTGAATCTGGGATAATGTACTCGATTGCTGCCCTCTTGTTTGGTGAGATTGTTGGAGACCAGATAATCTACTCCACCAACTGTTTTGCCATTGGTTACCTGTTGATGAGGAGCCTGCAGAAAAATATTATTTCAATATTTGGATTACTAGAGACTATTAAAATTCTATGAAAATTTCTTATGTTGAAAAAAAAGTTTCGGAAGCAAATTAATTAATTTAAAAGATGTACGTACCTGTAGAAGACCATCCCAAAGGGCTTGCAGAGGCCAAAGCCAAAAAACCTAACAAAACTATGGACTTCATTCTTCTGGTTCGGTCAAGCAAAACTCGATTCTACTGTGACTTTGTTAGTGCCGCCACTACTTTTTATATCGTTCTTTTTCCATTCTGGAAGAGACAAAGATTGCAATTTATCTTTTTTATTGCATAAGAAAGTTTTGCATTAATACAGGGTATCACGAGGGGTCTTTTTTATCAAGAAATGATTGCCTTTATCGTTATTCTGAATTTTATTTGGTGTGATTTTAAAATGTTTTGATAGGTGTGGTGTGAGACTTTATATTTAACTTTCTTAGGGATTCAGGTGATTTTTGAATTATAAACCACGCATTTTCCTTAACTTTTCCTACATTGAAATATTGAAGTTTTTGAGTATTCTTTAAAGAATCGTGCCGCTTCAAGTTGAAACGAATCGGCAAATCCAAATTTCTCCTCAACCAGTTTATTGATGGATGCATCTCGATCGAGACGGTGTAACAATAGCTTACTCCACAAAAAATACATACTACGTCCCTTACTGAAATTTGATGCATTTTTGTCCATACTAAATGATTTCTAGGTAAAAGGCTATGTACCTACCTATAATTGAACCCAACAATGGATATGGTTTTCTGTGAAGGCGAAAAATATATAGGTATTATAATAAACAAATTATTATACCAAGAGACGCGTTTCTGCTAATAGAGACAACTTCGGCTTCAAATGAAGCTATACTCGGTACAATTATTAGTGTGTGAGATAAAGCGCTTGATATTACTATAGCTTGTTTTGCTTTCGCTAACGCCAGTATAGCAAAACATAATTATTGAAAACCTCACTGGTTATCAAAGATGTGTTTTTTAGTTATAGTGATTTGTATTGTGAAATAAGAAACAATCTTCTGGCCCTGTTATTCTCAAATTAACACTTTACTGACTTTCCTTTCGGACACGTCTATTTTAATTTTTTCAAAAGCACGCAAAAAAGGAAAATTGACGTGTCCGAGAGGAAAGTCAGGAAAGTGTTAATTTGAGAATAACAGGGCAAGAAGATGGTTTCCTATTCAGCCCATGGCAACTTTGACAGTCAATATCTTGAGAACTAATCATTCGATTTTCAAAAAAAGTACACAGTTGTGACGAGAATCAAAATACCTTTAAAATAAGGTGCCACTCGACACATCTTCCCTATGTAAAAAAGAGGAGTGAAAGTCACCCCACCCAGGGGGTGCACACTAGCGAAATACCGATGGGGTCAACAACTTTCCCCCTTGAATACAAAATTGACGTGTCCGAGCATTTTTCTTAAATCTTAATCAAAAATACCCCAAAACCCTCTGTTTCGATGTTCTTGAAACACCCTGTATGTACTTAAAACAAAAGTAAGAAGCATGTAGAATAAGCGCAAAAATGTATATGTAAATATGCATTTAATTTTTTTTACCATTGAAAAATAACAGTTAAATTACAAAACTATTCGACAATAAAAGCATAAATTAAAATAGGTTCAAGCAACATTTTCACTTAATTTGCATCTCGCCAGTTCCATTCCATTCAAACAAATTCAGGCAGTTTCATTTACATCTATTCCATAATCGGTTAGAGGGTCAATTAAATGAATCAATTATCTGAACCTTATCAGTCAAACAAAAATACATATCAAAAATAGAAACAATTATTTGAAGAAAAATTTTCAATCAACTCTTCTTTTGACTAATCCCATTTAATTGACGGAGATTATACAAAAAATCCCTCGGTTAGAGGGTTAATTTCAACTATAATTGAAATATTTTTCGTTGATATAGAAAATTATCCTTAATTACAAATATATTTTAAAATAAACAATAACGACATAAACTACGATAATTTCAAGAACATTTTCATACAACAATCCTGGTCTTTATCTCTGCATAGGCCTCGGCAAAAAGACGTGGTTGAGCTCTTTCCAGGATTCTCCATCCTTCTGTATTTGTAACGGCTTGGGCATTTATAGCAATAAAATCTAATGCGTCGTCCTTTAAAATATCACAGTTGTGTAGATCTGCTAAATATAACACTTCTGCCGAGTCTTCTATGGTCATATTTTTTGCCATTAATGCTGCACATATGGATTTTAAGCGCATCAGCTCGTATTTGTCCGCAGGCATCAAAAGCGCTTTAGCCATGTCTGACTTTGGAGCTTTATCTGTGTATATAAAATGTAGCATAGCTTTGAAGACATCATATTCAATATCAATTATTAACACTGTGTTGGTAAATTTTTCCAGCATGTCGGATTCGAACATGGCTTGAAATACTTTGCTTCTGAGAGCCAAAATGGCTTTATGAGCTTTCAGCGCTCTGTCTCCAATAAAAAACGTAGTATCGGTAAGTTTCTGACATTCGAATAAGTTAGTAAAATACTTGCCCATCTCCGAGTCAACTAATGACTGGGGTTGACTTCCAATATTGGACTCAGGATCCAAATAAATTATAATCTGACCTGCTATGGTAAGTACGCCGTTTGGTAGGAGCTCGTGGGATCTATTGAATAAATCCACACGCTTGAAGAACCTCACGAATCCTCTTGTTTGTCCCCTGGCAAAGGTTTTAGGCCGTCCAAATTTCATTGTTCTTGCAGTTTTATTGTTGGCATTCACCAGACGGAATTGGTAGCTGACTTTTACTTTTGCGTTGTTACTGCTGTCTAACAAGCCGAGATACAAGGAAATGTAATCATCACTTGTCGCATCTACTCCTTTTGGATACAATATGAGCAACCATTTCGTAGAACTACACTCCATCTCAAAAATTTTATTTACTTCGGAGAGGCGATGCCTCGCAAAATTGGGCACAGTCCACACAAAGCGCAGTCCTTCCACTCGATTTAACAATAACTCGGATTCACCGGAATTATGATCCATTTTTTGATATCAAATTTATTTAAAAATAGAAACGCTTCTCTGACAGAGCAGTGTTTTCCAACAGAAACGCCATATTGTGGATATTTGAAATGTAAAAGTGAATGTGGTAATTAATTTTGTCAGAATATCTTCTGTCTAATAACTTATTAATGTTAGAGAGAGACAACAAGTGATCTACCTAATCGGAGAAGATCTGACATCATCCAGTAGGCTACGCGTATATGCGCAAGGTACCTAGTAATCTGATTATGTGTTGTCCTTTACTAGTTTGCGTGTGATAAAGAGAGAGAAAAATATTCTAATAAACCGAACGTGTAGAATTGAAGGTAATTTTTTTTACAGATTTTTTTCTATTTGTCGGAATTTGACATTTCAATTTTGTGTTGTGGGAAGGGATGGAGGATTCTAATAGCGATTTCCATTTGTAGAATCAGTGCAAAAAAAAATGTATCGGTATCCTCCTATTTCACATGCTTTTAGAAAAAGATGCGGATACACTCAGTGTGCACTTATTGACAAAGGGAAATCGCCATAATAGCGAAGTCTATTGGGAAGGGTGTGCACTGAGTGTATTCGTGTCTTTTTCTACCAGCTTTTATAAGAAAGAGATAAAAATACATTTTTTCTGCACTGGTTCTACCAGTAGAATTCGCTATGGAACTTCTTGAAGCGTCGCAAAGAAGCAAGGATGATACACACCTACAGGATTGCTTATCGGCCTCGTTTTTGGTAATTGCCGCAATATTGGTGTGTCACCATTTGTGACGTCATAACTAAGTCGTCAACTGTTTGAGCAGCCTACGTCTAGGCGAGAAATAACATGCTGCCTACGTCATAACTGGTGATTTGGCGTGGGGGGATTTATTCCACACTGGCCTTATGAGGATAGGCTATTTTGTAGTAGTAGTGTGTATCATCCTTGGCAAAGAAGACCCTCGTTTTTAAGCTCAATTTGTAAACTCGCCGTCGGGAGTCCGTTTGCGTCTGCGTTTGCGTCGGCCTCGCTGGTTACCGTAGTCTTCATGCTGACGGCGAACTGTGAGGCCGACGGCGAGTATAAATGATCTTATGGGATTTCTATTTCTAATATTCACTTGGTAACGGCGTGCTCGACGCAAACGCAAACAGAATCTCGAGGGCGACTTTATAAATTGGGCTTTATTCTAATCGATGACTTTACCGATGAGTTAGCTATCTTTGTTCGGTAAAATTTGATGAGAATAAAAACGCAGGGAATTTGAGAAGAATTCAACAAAATTTCGCTAAAAATCAGTGTTGTCATTTGTATGGACTGGTGGACTTATTTCTGATTTTGAAATATTTGGGATAATCTGAGATCTTTTCATATACGGGTGGTTACTACGGTCATCTTTAATTTTTCAGGTAATAGAATAGTTACCTTGATTTCCACCAACTATTTTAGGGAAGCCCTAACGATAGGTATGTCTTAAACTGACATTTCTCCATGTAAAAATGTCATTTTAGGGAATACTTATCGTTAGGGCTCCCCTAAAATGGTTGGTGGAAGCGGCCATTATTTACCTAACAAGTGCGGAAAGTTATACTTTTCCGCACGCCACGGTATTTGCACGAATGACGCGTCAGCATAGTCCTGGTGAGGCATAAGTGCTGAAAAGATACTTTACGCTCGTGTTAGGCACGACATTTTTTTATACGACTGCTCTAGAAAGCTATTAAAGACGCACTACTAACTCAGCTAAAAAATCAATTATCCCGCACAGCGTGCAAAAATTAGTTTCCACACGCTCTGTCCGAGCGAAAAGTACTTTCCAAACGCTAAAATGAAAATGACACTTCCACTGAATTTTTGTTCTGCAAGCAACTCTGAGTACATTCAGCGGACGTACCAAAATTGTTCGGTAATTATAACCTTAAATAATATTTTTTTAACAAAAAAAAAAATTAAAAATCTCGATGTGAAAGCAGTTATTTCGCAGACGTAGAAAAAGTATAGAATGCAACCAGTGGCGACGCCGGGGTTCCATGTTAGCGGGACCCAGGCTGGGCCAGAAAAATTTAGGGGGGCAGTAAAATTAAATCAAATTAATTTTACTGCTTTTCTTCTCTGGACTAAAAAATAGGCAGTATCTATCGACACTGATATGTTTGGGGAAATCTCCGAAAAGCGAAAGCAGCATCGCGGTTGCCTGTGCCCAAGAACATTCAACCTAATAAGACTACTTATTGAGCTGAAAATGTCTGCCATTTCAGCCAAAAACCGCAACACTTGGCGTAAAATGCATAAGCCGAGTTTGAAACAGTATAGGTCAAAAAAACGATTTCTTAATCGTTATAATCTTGTTGAAATCACCTTTTCTACATTTGAAATCGACGGAAAAACAAGCACAACCTGAATCGCAAGCCTCCCATCGAGGCCTGCGAATGACGTCACCACTATAAGCTGCTAATAGTGGTGACGTCACTCGCAGGCCCTGCTGACTCTAGAATTGGCGAACGTACGCCTTATGAGGATGAGCAATCCTGTTAGTTTACGATTTTTGGCCTGTGCTCACCGAATACCGAATTAACCCGCAGAGGTTACTGATGTTGCATTGCTTTGTTGGATCAAGGATCAAATTTGGAGCAAATTTAATGACCCATAACTTTTTTAAGAATGAATTTCCAAAAAAGTTGACCGTTTTCGATATACCTATTGATGAACGCATTCCTGATCTTTGACTCTCCGTAATGGCCCAAATAATCACCGAATCGATGGACAACTTTCACCAATTATTTATGGCCGTTTCCACCAACTATTTTACGGGAGCCTTAGCGATAAGTATTCCTTAAACTGACATTTCTCCATGTAAAAATGTCGTTTTAGGGAATACTTATCGTTAAGGCTTCCCTGAAAATGTTGGTGGAAACGGCCATTAGACCCCGTAACAGCAACGTGTATGCAAAAATTTACCGTTAGGTCCCTTAAATTTATTGCACAGTCCCGCATTCCAGTGAATATCTTTCCGCCAGTCTTTCAATGTTCTGTCTTCTTGTTGTTGGGAAATCCTAATTTGAAGAAGGTTAAAAAGATTTCATTTTGGTAGGCAACTACCTACCTACTCATAAAACATGTTTTCGATGATAATTCAGATTTATTTTTCACATGAACATTTTTGAATAGAATTCCAAGTTTGAAGTTTAAAAATCGTTGAAACTTTTTTTCGACTTTCTCTAATGAGCATTGTAGCAAAGAAATTAAACATTACAATATTACATTATTAATATTTATAATCAGTTTGGCATAAATAACGTTTTCAGGCAATCATAGGAAGGCGTAGAAGGGACACCCAACATTTTTTTTCTCAATTTTTAAAATTTCGACTTATAACTCGAAATTTTATAGTAAAATTTCGTGATATAACTCGAAATTTTAAAATTTCGACTTATAACTCGAAATTTTACTATAAAATTTCGAGTTATAAGTCGAAATTTTAAAAATTGAGAAAAAAAAAAGTTGGGTGTCCCTTCTACGCCTTCGTACAATCAGCCTCAAATAGGTACATCTATTGGAAACTGTCAGCCTGATTATTTAACCTAAGGCGATTTCGGCAAGCTTTGGTACATGGTTTGGTACCCTGTTTGGTCTGTCAAATGCATACCAACCAATTTCGGATACGAAAATGATGTCGTCACCGTGACTTTGGTATCCTTTTTGGTCTGTCAAATAGGATACCGTGGTCAGCAGCACGGTTCTTCTATTTGGTATAGTGCTATCTACGTCTATTTTCGTTTTGTCCTGCTCTGGAAAATGTAAATAAATGGAAGTTCATTAGAATTTGAATAATTTGAAATTTTTAACAAATATGTTTGTTTTTTCGCCTTCATCTTCCTGATTTCTCGTATGTTTTGACTGCCAAATAATGTTTGACGATCATTTGAAAAACGGCTCTGAACGACAGATATGAGGTAACTTTAACAGCTTTAAATTTACAGAAAACGCTGAGTTACTCAAAGGTACTGTCTAGACAGTGCTGATTAGTGATTATACATTTTAGTCAGTGCAGTTAGTACCTAGTCACTCCCAAAACTAGAAGAACAACACAAAGTTAGGTTAAGGCTCGTCTCTTCCCCTCTCCTATGACCTACCAAACGAATTCGGAACAAAATGGTATCTTACGTCATTACTATGACGTTGCAGGTACCAATTGGTTAACCAAATGGTATACCAACCAAAGCTTGCCGAAATCGCCTCTAGCTAAATTGATCTTCTGTCTGAAGCAGAGTGACTTTTCTTTAAAAAAAAATAACACCAACCAAAGAACCAAACTCAGTATTGCTTTAAATATATTCTAAAAACTAAATTACAATTTCTATTTCACAGTCATAATGTACATACAATAAATTCATGCTTTCAAGGATTCAAAGAGACAAAATAGCGTGGAGACGGCCTTGCTGCTGCAATTATTGAGAAACTGGAACTTGCTGGGACATCCAGCTAGGCGACACCACTTTCCTGGTTGCTACCATACGTTTCTATACTAGAACGGAGTAGCTTTCAACTTCCACCAAAGGTTTACCTTGGACCCATTGTTGCACGATTTGTTGGGGTTGTTAGCCTACAATTTCAACTTGTTTATGTTGGACGCTTCTCAAAGCTTGCTGCAACTTTTGTACGATGACTTTACGGGTAATCTGTCCAGCTAGCAATTGGGTTTCTTGTTGAACCAGTTGTTGTTGAACCACTTACAATGCAGAGGCTTGGCTAAGCTGACCTTGCTCTTGAGCGATCCCTTGTTGGATTTGGACTTGGTTAATTTTTTGGTTCAATAGCTGCAATTCGCTTTGGAGAAGTTGGACTTTGATCATTTGCCTGACAATTTCACTAAAAGAAGTTTGAAAATTATAGGCTACAATTGTTATCGGATTGAACACTCTTACCGTTGAATTTCTTGGACCTGTTGTCCAGGTTGGATTTGTTACTGGATTTCAGGAAGTACACTGGCAGTAATGATGCTTTGACCTAAGTTGAAAGAATCCTGCACT